AACCAACAAATCCACATTGGAGGAATTCAGACAGAATCCTGAGAAGCACAAATGGCAAAACTCCATTCCGCATAATTTTGGTATGTTATCAGAGAGACCAACTCCTAAAGAAGGACTTCATGCTTGGTAAAGTAGATGGTCAATAAGTGAAAATAAACACAATGGCTCGAACACATATTTGATTTTGAGGATTGTGTAAGATTGACAGTGTTTAATTCAGTTGTACATAGTTTCACCATACGTTAATGGCACCTTAAATAACAATAATTTTAAGCAATTTTCAGAACATATGTTACTATTTATAAATGTTTTTCTTTTTATTGATTTGCCGCAGTAATGCTTCATATAATCTTTCATTTATATTGTGTTTCATATAATGATTCCTATGTTAGTGTTAGGTGCCATCTAGTTGAGTACGACTCATAATGACTTATGAACAAAAGATCAGAACCCTGTTCTATCCTATGTCATCCTTACGCTTCCTGACACACAAGAGCCCATTGTGGCAGTCACTATGCTAATCCACCAGATGAAGGGTCTTCCTCTCTTTCGCCAACCCTCCAACTTTCCCAGCATCACGTCCTTCTATAAGGAATAACCCCTCCTAGCAACATGCCCAAAGTATGTGAGACAAAGCCTCATCATTCTTGCCTTAGAGCATTCTGGCTGCACCCTTCCAAGACATAGCTGTTCTCTTCTCTATCCATGGGATGTTTAGTGTTCTTCTCCAACACCACAGCTCAAAAGCATCAATTCTTTTTCTGCCATCGTTATTTATTGTCTACTTCTCAGATGCATAACAAGTGATCGGAAAGACTATGGCATGAATCAGATGCTTCTGAGTCCTCAAACTGACAGCATGCTCCTCAATAATTTGGAGAGGTCCCTAAATGCATATTTTCCCAGTGCAATGAATCTACTTATTTCCTGAGTGCTGGTACCAAGGATTTAATGATGGATCCAAGTAAGATGAAGTTGTAGACAGTTTCAGTCTCCTCTCCATCCATCATGATGTTGCCTATCAGTCTAGTGGTGAGAATCTTTTTTTTCTTGACATTGAGATGCATTCCATACTGAAGGGTGCATTCATTGATCTTCTGCAACAAGTGCCTCATGTCCTCCTCAATTTCAGCAAGCAAGGTTGTGCTATCTGCATAAATCAGGTTATTGATGAGTCTCTTTCCAATTCTGATGCCATACTCCTCTTCATAGAGTCCAGGTTCTTGGCTAATTTGTTCAGCAAACAGATTGAATAGTTATGGAAGGAGATTACAACCCTGCTACACTCCTTTCTCTATTTTAAACATGCAGTGTTTCCCTGCTCTGTTTGTACAGCAGCCTACTGGTTCAGGCATAGGTTTCACATGAGCACAGTTAAGTTCTGAGGGACTCCCATTCCTCTCAATGTCAGCCACAACTTCTCATGATCCATACAGTCAAATGCCTTTATATAGTCGATAAAGCACAAATAGACATTCTTCTGGTATTCTTTACTTTCAGCCAGAATCCATCTGACATCAGCAGTGATATCCCTGATGCCATGGCCTCTTCTAAAACCTGCTTGTACTCTGGCAGTTCCCTATATATGTACTGTTCTAGACATTTTTGCATGATCTTCAGTGGTATTTTGCTTGCATGTGATATTAATGATACTGTTTGATAGTTTCCACATTCAGTTGGATCGCCTTTCTTGGGAATGGGAACAAACATGAACCTCTTTCTATCCTCTTGGCCAGACAGCTATCCTCCAAATTTTCTTATTTATTTAATTTCTATTGATATATGTCAATTATTACATCATTTTTTTAAAGTTCCCATTGTATCTTTTCTTTTCCTTCACTCTCCCCTCTATGTGCTCACTAAACTCCACTATCCTAGTGATTTCACTCTTCACCTTTTTCTGTCCCTTTCCCCTTTCCCTTTCTGTTTTTGGACTTTTATATGCATCTTACAATTAACCTTCTATTTTCACAATATTGGTCTTATGCAGTATTTGTCTTATAAGGCTAAGTTAGTTTACTCAGTATCAAGCATTTCTCTCTAGACTCCCCCATGTTATATAATATTTTATGAAATCATTGTTCCTTAGTGGTTCATAGTATTCCATTTTGTGAATGTACTATTGCCATTTGGACTGTTTCCATACTCTTGGTATTGTGAATAATTCTGATATGAAAATAAGTGTACAAATCTCTGTTTGTGTCTCAGTTCTGATTTCTTTGGGATATATTCCTAGAAGTGAAATATCTGAGTCATATGGAATTTCTATGTTATTTCTATGTTTTTTCTATGTCAGACTGCCTTCTAGAGTGTACCATTTTACAATCCCATGAGCAGTGCAATGGAATTCCAATCTTTCCACATCTTCTCCAAAATTTATCACTTGTTGTCCTGTTGGACTTTGCTACTGCTACTGGAGTAAAATGGTATCTTGTGATTTTGATTTGCATCTCTCTTATTGCAATGATTTTGAGCATTTCTTCATTATATCATATTTTAGATGTATCTGTTGAATGTCTTCCTCTGAGAAAAGTATTTTTGTGTCTTTTGCCCCTTCTGTTATTGAGTTATCAGTCTTTCTCACATAATCCCTGTAATCCCTCTAAATTTTTATTATGAAACCCTTATCTGAAATGTCCTTGCCAAATGTTTTTCAAGTCTATAGGTTTTTTTTCTACTCTGTTAAAAATTTTATGATGCACAAAAGGACTTGATCTTTAGAAGGTCCCATTTGTTGATTTTATCCTCTTGCTTGTGCACTTCTGACTGTACTGCAAGCTCACTATCTCTTCAAATGAAGAAACACATATAAAAAGGTGTGAAGATGATGATATTATTTCTGCACTTTACCTCAGATGTATGCATGAAGTTCCATCATAAATACCAAAGCTATTCTTCCATTTATATCTCTCATAGCAGAATTATTTTTTTTGAGAACTGTTTTTAAGATTTTTAATTCTTTCAATTTATAATTTTTAAATATCTAATTTCAAAGCATCTTTTCATCCTGCTTTATTTGTTACTTTAAAGGAGAACATGAAGCAATGAAAATACTACGAAAATACAATGGCTTGGATCAATCATACCTTAGTCTTTAAAGTTACATCCTTACTCTTTAAATGCTAAATGGATCCTTACCAGCAAGTTTTCCCAGTTCAATGATTCATTTAATTACTTGATGTCTGGTGCTGATTATAGATTCAGATAAAATGAAATCCTTGAAAACTTCAATCTTTTCTCCATTTATCATGAATTTGCAGATTGTCCAATTGTGAGGAGTTTTATTTTTGTTACCTTGAAGTGTAATATATACTGAAGAATGTAGTCTTTTATTGTCTTTAGTAAATGCTTGAAGCATTGATGACTGAATTGTGATGTTGATGAAGAGTGTTGAATATACCATGGAGTGAAAAAAAAGAACAAACAAATCTGTGTTGGAGGAAATGCAGCTATAGTTGTCCTTGGAAAGAAAAAGGACAAATATTTGTTTTACATACTTTGTGTATGGTATCCCTGAAAATAGATTAAAGCAATAAATAAGGGTTCCAATATCTCCACAGCTTTGCCAGAATTTGTTGTTTGCTGCTTGGTTGAACTTTGCTATTGTTAGTGGGGTAAGATGATATCTCATAATGATATTTATTTGTATCTCTCTGATAGCTAGGAGTTTTGAACATTTCTTCATGTATCTGTTTGCCATCTGAATGTCTTATTTGGTAAAGTGTCTATCCATATTCTGTGCCTATTTTGTGAATGGGCTGTTTATCTTTTTCTTTTTGAGGTGCTGATACATTCTAAATTTTAGATATGAGTCCTTTATCAGACATATGATTACCAAATGTTTTTCCCCAGTCTGTGGCTTCCCTTTTCACTCTCTTGGAGAAGTTTTTTTAATGTGCATGGGGATTTGATTCTTAGAAGGTTCCATTCATATGTTTTATTCTCTCCTGGTTGGCTTTTTCGTTATGCTTAGAAGACTGTTTATACTGTGTAATAGGGCTTCTAGATTTCTTTCTACCTTTTTTCTGATGAAGTCTTTGGTTTTACTCACTTATAAAGCAGGACTGATGTTTGGGGTTTGGGAGGAGAATAGGAAAAACACTCTAATGAAACAGATGAAAGAAAGAACTGTTTAAAAGGACTATATGATTAGGAATTCTATGTAATACAGCAGTACAGAATAAGAGGTACATTGCAAAGAGGATCAGGGGTAGGAGAGGAGGGAAAAAGTGGAGGAAATTGTGCAATAATGAATGAATATTAAAAAAGAAGAAAGTGAATTGGGGGAGGAGGAAAGAGGAGAGGGAAATGTGCAAAAATGAATGAATGAATATCCAACTTTTCTGTAAACTTCCATTAAAATGAGAATGAAAATTAAAACATTTTTGTTAAAGAGAAAGGTAATGTCAGTAAGAAGGATTGACACAGTGGCTACAATAACAGGGTAAGACAGAGTTTGTGAGGATGGTACAGGATCAAACAAAGCTTCGTTCTGTTGTGCATAGAGTCACTATGACTCCAAGTTAACTTGTTGGCACTTAACAACAACTGGTGACACAGTGTTATGCTGCTAATTGAAAGGTTAGCAGTTCAAATCTCTCAGCTGCTCAGAGAGAGAAAGATGAGCAATCTGTCTAAAAGATTTACAGTCATAGAGTTTCCCTCCATAAGTGCTTCTATCTAAAAATCTGTAAAATAGGCAGGCATGCAACTTTATGAAAAAAATCTGTGGATACAGACTTCAAAATTCAATATGCCAACCATGTTGTTATTCTAAGGAAAAGGAAAAGATGCCAGCCACTTCAGATGCCACTGATGCCTTTAAGTTTGCTGCTGTGGGAAGAGAAGGCAAATTCTCAGCTCCCAGTAGGTATAGTGGTTAATAGCTTCCTCAGATCCCAATCTCACTTAGGATTGATATCCTTGGGCTCAGAGTGACGGAGCATTCTGCCAATAAAATATAACATCTGATTTGTCACTTATGCCTTTTTCTTCCACAGAAGAAATCAGGACTTCACGAAGCTGTGAGAATATTCTGTCAGAAGATGAATGGAAAGTGTCAGTGTTGACAGGAGACACAGGAACTCAAGCCAATGTCACACTCTGGGTTTACGGAGATGAAGGAGCCACAGGACCAATATGTCTCAGAAAGGACAACTCCAATCACCTCTTCCTGCCAAGACAGGAAGATGAGTTCCAGGTAAACAGAATTAGCTGTAATGTTGATGTTTGATTATGAAGGAATTTCTGCAATTTGGAAGATTGTGGATTTGTGTGGGAGAGTGTCTATAAATGTATGTTTGTGTATGTGTGGGCGTGTGCCCTATGTAAAATAAGCCTGGTTTATTTATTAATGTGTCAAAGAAAGACAGGAAAACCCTTAACACGATAGATTGACATGGTGACTTTATTACTTACTACATAGGTAGAAATTACAAGTATGGTGCATGATAGGACAAGGTTCAGATCTGTTCATTGGGGTCACTATGAGTTGTAGTAGATTCAGTGGCAACTAACAACATCAGAATTCCCATAATTTATCTTAATGTACAATGAAATTACTAAATGAAGTACTCTTCCTCACATATCTGTTGTTTCTGTTGTGTGCTGTCAAGCCGTCTGCAGCTCATAGTGATCCTATGTACAACCGCCCTAAACCCTGCTGTCCTGTGCCAATCTTATTGTCTCTGACACACCTATCCCCATTATCAATCCATCTCATTGTGGGTCTTCCTCTCTTGTGCCATCCCTCCACCTTCCCAAGCATGATGTCCCTTTCCAGGACTGGTTCTGCCTTGTAGTATCTCCAAAGTATGTTAGACAAAGCTTCAGAATCCTTCCTTCTAAGGAGCAGCCTGATTTAACCCTCTCTAGGATGAACCTGTTTGTTCTACTAGCAGTCCATGGTATACTCAATACTTTTCAAGCACCACAGCTCTGAGGCATGAATTATCCTTCTATCATCCCTAGTCATTGTCTAGTTTTCTGATGCATAGTAAGCAATTACAAAGACTATGGCATCCTTTAGTCTCCAGACTGACATCATTGCTCTTCAGTTCTTTGGAGATGTCTCTGACAGCAGATTTTTTCAGTGCAATTTGTCTTTTAATTTCCTGTCTGCTGGTACCAAGAGTGTTGATTATAGACCCAAGCAAACTAAAACTTTTAATAGTCTCAGTCTCATCACCATTTATCATGATGCTGCCAATTGGCCCAATGGAGGAAATCTTTATATCTTATACATGAAAAGTAAATTATAGAATAAAGTGCTTCCCGAAATAAATTATGTTTTGTTGTTTTGTGTGCTGTCCAGTTGGAACCGATCCATAGCTGACTTTCTGGCAGGTTTTCAGACCCAGTTCAGTTAATTGCACAGGAGGAGATTACTCAACCTTCTCCTGCAGAGCAACTGGTGGATTTGAGCTGTGTGCCTTCAGGTTTGCTGTGCAGCTTCTTGCCACTAGGCCAACAGTGCTCAAGAAAAAATTTGTTTTAGGCTATTGATTTTTTGGGGGGAGATATTGATTTTAACTCACATCCAGTTTATGTGTCATTTAGAGATTTTTTTTATAGTAATAAAGTCATCTTTTGATATGCTTGAATGTATTAGGAGATATAAATGTGTGAAATTATTTTCTTGGCATCTTGGTAAGTGATGCTTGCAGCTTTGCCCATGCCTCTTCAGCTTCTCCCGCCTTTACTTCTTAGTATGAGGCAATTCTAGCCTGCTTTATTTTGATTACTGCTGGTTGTGTATTCTAGTTCCTCAGGGCTTTGGCCAAATTTCAATTAGGACAATTACACTCCACTTCACTAATTCCACCCAAACCCCCACAGTATGAAAGCTATATAGTTCTTTGGTGCACTATTAAACAGCAGTTGTTCTCCCTGGAGAGCATTCCTTCTGCATCATAAGACTATAGAGAGAATAGGGAATAATTGAAACCAACTTGAGTCATCAGAAAACCAAGGCAATGTTTCTGGCTGTGGTACTTTGAAATCACCAGTCTACCCAAATAGTTTTAGATCTTTAGACCTGGGCCTGTCATGCTTCTGTGGCAACCATTAAATTAAGTTGTACTGGAGAAAAGCAGTTCTCTGCAGTCATGAGGGAGCATTTTGGTAAGTGTATAAGCAAGAATTCCTTGTATAACAGCTGCATTTCTGAAAATTATTTAAAAATTATTATCTAGAACTGAGAATGGTTTGCTCTCCCATTAGAACTGTGTTGTTAGATTCCTAGGTTATACCACAAAGGTCTGTTTTACCCATTGTATATCATATAGTATATGCATTTATATGTTAATAAATCTATCAATGTCTTCCTAGAAAAATAAACCTAATTCAACCTTAGAATTCATTATAATATAATATTATAAGTCTTGACTATACATTAGAATTACTTAGGGAGCTTTAGAAACACTGATATCTGGCCCCATCTTGAAAGATTCTGGTTTAATTCATTGGCAATATGTCTTAGGCACTGAGTTCTTTAGGAACTCCCTAACTGACTCTAAAGTCTAGCCATTGTCGACAATCAGTTAAAAAATTAGATTACAAATTAAGAGATCTGTGTTGGAGTCCCAGATATCCATATATTAGATCTGTGACCTTAGCTTTTTTCAGAGCAACATCGCCTTTACGTATAAGATGTAGACAATAATACTTTTTTTTTGTAAATTGCAGGGCAACCTGACAACCAATACGCACGCACACACACACACACACACACACACACACACACCCCTTAAATCTATTGTGTTAGAAAGAGTAATAAAAATAAGTTCAAGAATAGGAACCTGTAGTCATGGAGACCAGGCTGAATTCTAGATAGACCTTTTTCTGGTTTCCTAAACTGAGCAAGTTGGTTATATCCTCATTAAGTCCGTTTTCTCTTTAGTAAAAAGGAACTAATAACACACATATAAGAATCGGTTCTGTTCTCAGAAAACAAAAGGTAAATTGGCACAAAATCAGACACGTAGTAATGCTAGTTTCAGGTAACTTTATATTGGGGTATTTTTTTTAAATGTAGAGAGAGGAAGTTTACATTCTTGGAATAAGAAAAGAATAAAAAAAAAGTTGGCTTACATTTTATACTTCAGCCTGTAAGATATATGAGCCAGCCACTTGGTTCTGCACTGAGAACAATAGTGAGAATAAGGGAAGGAAGGAAAGCTATATGCAGGAGATTCTATAATCTCAATATAGTTCCTTTTGACCCTCCATAGTCTATAGGGGGAGTGGTAGTGGTGAGTACTTGTAAAGAAGACTTCTAAGCGTGAAAGTGGATATGAAAGAATAGTTCTTATGATATCTTGCTCACCTAGCCATCCTAATTTTTTTCTTACAGACTTAGTTACAATAGACAGGATGCAAGTCAAACTTAATATGCAAGTACCAATTCATTCTGTCTTCTGTGGAACTAGATAGGTTTCCACAGAAGGAATATGGATAATGATTTTTATTTAACTTAGTAAGTAACTGAAAAACAATGATGTCAATTTCAAGACTTAGGTACACCTGATCCAGGCATGGTCTTTGCAATTATTTGCTATGCATCAGAGACCTGGAAAATGACTAAGGATAACAGAAGAAGAATTGATGCCTTTGAATTGTGGTGCTAGAAAGGAGTCTTGAACATATCATGGACCAGCAGGAAAACAAAGAGATCTGTCTTGGAGATGGTGAAACCAAGTTTATCCTTGGAGGCTAAGATTTTGAAACTCCATCTCATATACTTTGGGCATGTGGCCAGCAGGGACTGGAGAAGGACATCATGCTCAGAAGGGTGGAGGGAGAGCATAGGAGAGGAAGCCCCTAATGAGATGGATAGTAGGGAAATGAGGGTAGGTGAGTCAGAGTGAGTGAGACTGGCTCAGGACAGGGCAGGCTTCGAAGCTGTTTTGCATAGGGTCACTATGACTCTATGGCGCATAGCAACAACAATAACAATTTGAATGCAATATAACTTTATTTAATACTTATAATTCAGTATCCTAGGCATATAGTCTCTCTCACTCTTGAAAATATCTTTTTATTTACTTACTTCCCTAACTAGAATGTAAATTTGTCCAAGTTAATGACTGTGCTGCCATGTTAATCTTTATATACCTGTTGCCTTCTGTAATGTATTTATTATAATATTTTAAAAGTACTTATTTTATTGACTAGAGACTTTTATTTATAGACATTATGTCTCTTTTACATATAAATAAATCAAAGACTAGGGATAAAAATGCATTGTGTTTTATTTAAGTTTATAATAGGCAGGATTCCATTTTTGTGTAAGATGATTCCAAAGCCTACTCTACAGAATACTGTAGTAGAATACTACTTGGATTAATAAATATTCTTGCTCTATAAAAAAAATTGAAATACATATACTGTGTTTGGCCCAGGAATCAAAGAATTAAGGGTTTTCATTGTAGACAGAAGTTCTAGACTCACATGTACTTTTTCTTAAGCTTATAGAAATAGCTATACTCAGCCTTTTTTTGTTTATGGAAGTTGAGATATTTTTCCTTCTTAAAAGAAGAGCTCATCTTATTTGCCATTGAAACTCAGCTCAACTTCAGAAGACCTGGAAATCAGTGAAAAATGAGTGGTAGTCAGAAAACTGAGATTATCTACATTCTTCTTTTCTCTAACTTCCCTGTACACTTTTAGATAAGTCATAGGTTACATCTCTTTTATATTCTATATATGGTTCACTGACGGCTTCTTAAGAGGATTTAATCTTTAAATTCTGAAAGAGTTTTTGAGAGATTTTCAAACATTAGGAGCTCAAAATGTCTTTAGTATGTATGAAGAGGAAAAACAATTTCTTAATGTAGTTAATTTAAAATATTCTGAGTCATTTTTCCTTCTTTTTATCTCACTCAGGTTGAAATAAGAAGAATTGGGAAGATATATAAGATCAGGATAGGTCATGATGGAACTAGTAAACAACCTGAATGGAGCTTACAGAGGGTAATTTGACTTATTTTGTGTTTCATGGATATTCTGTGGTGAAAATAAAGAAGCTGACTACATAAATATATGACCGCATATATTTCTAATAATTTCAAAATGATGTGGACAATATTTTTGGCAATGTAACATTCTAAATAATATTGTTTATTTTGGCAAAAGTTTTTAATAGTATTTTTATCATTATTATTGAAAAGATAATTTGTTTTTATCATTATTACTACAAAAGTAATTTGTTTTCATGGAAGAAAATTTGGAAAATACAATGAAACATAAGAACAAAAAAATAATTATTTATTTCTTTATATAATATATTTATAAACACACACATCAATATTTTAATTTTAGTGAAGTTTAATCTTGCTTTAGCTATGCTGGGAATTGTGGCCCATTTTTAGAAAAGGATATCATATTTGGATAGGTGGAAGGTCAGTAAAAGGGAAGAAGACTCTCAATGAGGTGAACTGATACAATTCAGTAAGTTTAAGCCCAGCAAAGATGGTGAAGATGGTGCAGGATAGGGCAAGGATTCAATCTGTTGCACACAGGATCACCTTAAGTCATGTCTACCCAATAAGACCTAATCACAACAACAATATACATGTGTTGGAGGCCTACTTCTATTTTTTTTTACTTACTTATGGTAATACAGCAGTGATTACAAAAATATTTATTGAATGCATTCCATGTAATAGCTGCATTGCAAATGTTACTGAATTTCTGTCCAACAACAACTTTGATTTCGGTACCACAGACATTAATGGGGAGACATATGTTGAAGTCAATGAGACTGGTTCAAGACAAGGCAAGGTTCAGAGCTATTGTACCTATCGTCTTTGTGAGTCGCGGTGACTTAAGGGTTGTTGTTGTTGTTGTTCTGTGCCGTCGAGTCGTTTCCGACTCATAGCGACCCTATGCACAACAGCCCTAAACCCTGCTCTATCTTGCGCCAACCGCAACGCCTCTGACACACCCATCCCGATTACCCCAGTCACTGAATCAATCCATCTCATAGAGGGTCTTCCCCTCCTGTGCTGTCCCTCCACCCTCCCAAGCAGGATGTCCCTCTCCAAGGACCCGTCCCTCCTGGCAACATGTCCAAAGTATGTCAGACGAAGCCCCAGAATCCTTGCCTCCAAGGAGTAGCTTGGTTTAATCCTCTCCAAGATAAATCTGTTTGTTTTCCTGGCAGTCCAGGGTACATTCAGTAACCTTCTCCAGTAACACAGCTCAAAAGCATCCACTCTCCTTCTGTCTTCCCTAGTCATTGTCCAACTCTCTGATGCATAACAAGTGATTACAAATACCATGGCCTGTATCAGGCGCACCTTAGTCTCCAGAGGGACACTGTTGCTCCTGAGTACCTTAGAGAGGTCCCTAACAGCAGACTTTCCCATCGCGATACGCTTTTTGATTTCCTGACTGCTGGTGCCAAGAGTGTTGACTGTGGAGCCGAGCAAACTGAAGCTGTGAACACTCTCAATCTCTTCGTCATCCATCCTGATGCTGCCAATTGGTCCAGTGGCGAGAATCTTTGTTTTCTTGACATTGAGCCTCAGTCCATAGTGAAGGCTGCAGTCCTTGACCCTTCGCAGCAAGTGCATGAGGTCCTCCTCAGTTTCAGCAAGCAGGTTGTGTCATCTGCATAACGGAGATTGTTAATAGACCTTCCACCAATCCTGATGCCACAATTCTCCTCAGAGAGCCCAGCCTCTCAGATAATCTGCTCTGCATACATGTTGAAAAGGTATGGAGACAGGATGCATCCCTGGCGTACACCCTTCCCAATTTTGAACCATGTTCTGTTCTGACTACTGCCTCTTGGTCCAAGTATAGGTTTCGTATTAGCACAATTAAATGTTCTGGGATTCCCATTCTTCTCAGAGTCAGCCACAGTTTGTTATGATCCACACAGTCAAATGCCTTTGCATAATCAATGAAACACAGATAGACATTCTTCTGGTATTCTCTGCTTTCAGCCAAGATCCATCTAACATCAGCAACAATATCCCTAGTACCATGACCCCTTCTAAACCCAGCCTGGACTTCTGGCAGTTCTCTGCTGATGTACTGTTCTAATCGTTTTTGGATGTTCTTCAGCAGAATCTTGCTTGCATGTGAAATCAATGACACTGTTCTGTAGTTTACACACTCAGTTGGGTCACCTTTCTTTGGAATGGGAACAAATATAGATCTCTTCTAGTCAGTTGGCCAAGTGGTTGTTCTCCAGATTTCTTGGCACAACTTGGTGAGCACATCCAGGGCAACATCTGTTATCTGAAATACTTCAATTGGTATACCATCTATTCCTGGGGCTTTATTTTTTGCTATTTCCTTCAAAGCAGCTTGAACTTCTTCCTTCATCACCATAGGCTCTTGCTCATATGTTATTTCTTTAAATTCCTCTGTATCTGCCAATTCCTTTCTATATAACGACTCAGTATATTCCTTCCATCTTCTTTTACTACTTCCTGGATCATTTAATATTCTGCCCAAAGCATCCTTGATTACAGCAACTCTAGGTTTGAATCTGTTCTTCAGTTCCTTGAGCTTAAGAAATGCTGAGCGAGTTCGGCCCTTTTCATTTTCTGACTCTAGCTCCTCGCAAATTTCATTGTAGTATTTTGCTTTGTCATTCTGAGCAGCCTTTTGGAATCTGCTGTTCAGCTCTTTAGTATCTTGAATTCTTTCTTGTGCTTTGGCTTCTCTACGCTCCAGTGCAATCTTCAGAGTTTCTTCTGACATCCATTTTGGTCTTTTCTTCCTCTTCTGTCTTTGTAATGACCATTTACACTCTTCCTGAATGATATCTTTGGGGGTACATAGCAACAACAAAAACAACAACAACACATTACTAGTTTAAAATCAATGGCTTGGAATTGTGGTGCTGGAGGAGAGTATTAAGCATACCATGGGCTGACAAGAGAACAAATAGGCTTGTCTTGGAGAAGGTGAAACCAAGTATCAACTGAGAGACAAGTATTTTGAAGCTCTGTCTGACAAATACTGGACATGTGTCCAGGAGGGACCAGTCCTAAAAGAAGGATATGATTGGAAGGGTGAAGAGACAGCACAGAAGAGGAAGACTCAGATGAGATGAATTAACATAGTAACTGGGATAATGGGGGTAGGTGTGTCAGAGTCAGTGAGACTGGCTCAGGATAGGACAGGCTTCAGAGCTATTTTACATAGAGTCACTATATGTCAGAGACAATTAGATGACACATAATAACAACAACAATATTACTGGTTTATAGATTAAAAAATTGAGAGATTCAAGAAAGTTAAATACTTTTATAAGATCACCTAGGTGCCACAACAAGATAAAGGTAAACAACACAATTGAAATATGAGCACAGGACATAAACAGTCACTTGACCAAAGACATAGGTTTTTTGGAGGCCTGCTATTTCAGAAATGGATGGCCAATCCTTCTTCCTAGTCTGTCTTAATCTGAATATTCAGACTGAGAGAAGTATCAGACAGATCAGCGTTTTACAGAAAAGTGAAAGACATATCCCTTATTGTGGAATTAATCATTCATATCAGTGTTGTCCCTGCCCTTGGCACACGTGTCTTTACCCACTTATTTCCCAGCAGACCTCCGAAAACCCTACGTACAAGAGAACACATGTAGATAACAGAAAGGGCAACTGAGGTTGAGCTTTCAGGTATGGAAATACAAAGGAAGAGGAACAGTTGTAAGCAGACACTAGTGACTGGGACATGGAATGTGAGAACCATGAATGCTGGAAAATTAGATATTGTTAAGGAAGAAATGAAACGCATAAATATTGACATACGAGGCATTGGGGAGATGAGATGGACAGGCATGGGGCATTTTGAGTCGAATGATCACATGATATATTACTCTGGAGATGAAAAGGTGAGGAAAAATGGAGTTATTTTCATTGTAAGAAAGCCATTGCCAGTTCCATCTAGAAGTACAATATTGTGAGTCACAGGATAATATCCATACACATAGAAGGAAGGCCAGTGAATACCACCATCATTCAGATATATGCTCCAACAAACAGAGGCAAGTAAGAGGAAATACAAGATTTTTACCAATGTTTACAGTCGGAGATCGATCGAACATGCAATCAGATGCATTGATAATAATGGGTGACTGGAATGCAAAAGTTGGGAACAGAGAAGGAGATTTAGTAGTTGGAAAACATGGACTCGGTGACAGAAATGGAGCTGGAGAGAGAATTATTGAATTTTGACAATCAATGACTTATTCATTGCAAATTAATTTTTAAGAGACATAAACACAGGTTATATACATGGACTTCACCTGATGGAATGCATAGGAATCAGATTGATTACATATGCAGAAAAAAAACCGTTGGAGAAGCTCAATATCAGCTGTGAAAACAAGGCCAGGAGCTGATTTTGGAACAGACTCATATGCAAGTTCAGGCTGAAGCTGAGGAAAATTAAACCAAGTCCACAGGAACCAAAATATGACTTTGA